AATTCTAAAAATTTGATCAAACAAGAAGCAATTGCAAATTAAAATGATCGAATAGGCATCACCATTGATATTTTTCAGCAAAAAGTGTTCAGTGTCAAATGCTCCTCTTTTCCGGTTATAAACGTATTTTCTCTTTCACGAAACTACATAAACGGTATAAATTAAATATTTATTCTATATATCAATTTAAAAATAATGCATTGTGCGCATCGAGGAGACATAACACTAGAATAATGATTTGAATAAATTGTTTTCAATATAATACTTTTTTGGAAAGGTTGGTATCTAGGTTGCTTGTTATGGCTGGCAGCAACGGCCAAGAGTTAACTTTTCATTATGTCGTTCAGTCTATTCATTTAATGTTTAATTATACATGTGGGATATTTTAAACACTGTTTGATGAAAGCATTTGACATTAAAACGCGAACTAACTTACGGTTAAGTTAGAAGATATATCCTTTCTTTGAAGTAAAACTATGATTTTTGGAAATGGGAATCAAGAAGTTTTTGATTATGTAATTTTTTTACTCTAAATAAAGGCCTATATTTTATGAATGACTTTACGTTAATTAACAGTTTTGCATATTTTTCTTTAGAATAAATAAAAATATTTTGGGTGTCAATAAAGATTTCCAAGAGATGAAAGATCCTATGATGGCGAGATTTATGAATGAATGTTGCGAGATTAATAATAACAACTCACCTGATTACAATTATATAAACTACGATGCAAATGACACGGTAGAGCAAGATTTTTTGAGATCGATAGAAGACGACACAGAAAAACACCGCGGTTTCATTCGAAAACTTGCTAATGACCACATACATTATAAACTGTTTGGTAAAGGAACTATAAACATATGCGATACAGATATAAAAATGAACCCTTTTGAAAAAAAACTCACAACAACAGTCGTTACATTACGTCGTGTCAGTAGTGAGCTAGAAGATATGCATATTGATTTTTTTGAAAATGTATGCCATGCAATTAACGAAGAAAACGCGGGTGAAGTTTTCAATGAAGTTTCGCAAAAGGTTTTGACTGATGACAATTTAAATTGGGGACGGGTTGTTAGTTTAATTACATTTGGTGGAAAGTTAGCTCAATGGTTTTGGGCTAGACAACCAAATAATGAACTGATTGAAGAAATCGAGGATTGGTTAACCGAAAGCTTATCAGATAAAAAAGACTGGATTAAACAAAAAGGAGGCTGGGTAATACTTTTTTTTCTTGCAATAATTTATAGTTTTGTAAGTTAATTTTTTTTAAAAAAGGTTATTTCAAATCATCAAACATTTTAACTGTTATAATAGATATAGCTAAAAGCTCAATTAACTAAACTTTAGATAATTAAAGTTTTATACAGTGTATATCTAAAATCTAAAAGATGTCTCGTTAAGTTGAGAAGCCAATAAATATTTTAATGACTTTGAAGTCCTCCTATAAGGTAACGTGGGTGTTTAAGCATACCGCAATTTCGTAATTTCCTCATTATTAATTAATGCTTTTGCGCGCAACTCATTCATATTTCATTTCGTGGATTGCTCGTTGCTAAGAAAAAATCGACGTGCAAGCATCAATTTATTTATATCCTGTATCAATGCAAATTAACATTCAGCGCTTTTCGTTTTTAGCTTGCTGTATGTATAATTTATTGTAATTTTGATCGATGAATAGTTTAAAGATTTTTTTTTTACTTTTAGGACGATTTCAATCGCACATTTACAAAGCCAGCACAAAACACATGGTGGAAAACTAGCCTTTGGGTTGGATTAAGCGCATCTCTAGCGGCAGCATTTGTTATGAAATCGCTAAGGTAAAATGCAGTTCAATTACAAAAGTAAATATGACTTTAAATTAAGCAAAAATTAAAATACGAAAATTTTGTGTAGATTCTGTTTTATTGTAAATAAGAGAATTACAGTTGGAACAATATTTTTATAATGTAAATAAATATTTATCTGATCACTTGGTTGTTTATTTAGTTGTTTGTTTGACTTTTTTTTCGAATTTTTAAAAAAGCTAAAAACTTTTCCAAAAAGAAAAAACAATGAGAATAACTCCCAGTTTCTTTCTAAATACTTTAAATGCTAAACACTGCAGATATTATAAAATTCTTCCATATAAAAAAAAGAACTGTTTTATTTAATGACTCTTAGAAATCCGGCATTCATCAACAAATGTTTTTTAAACTTTCGAGCATCAAAACTCAGCAGCACATAGCGCATTTTATTATAAAAATACAGTTATTAGAGTGTCAAACTTCCTTCCTAAATTAGCGTTTTTGTTTATATTATTTATTGTTATTATTAATATTTTTTCTTTCGCACGACTCTTAATACCATTTTAATAAGAGAATGTTTATTAAGCTTAATTTTACTTAAAGTAGTTTCTATCAAACACGAAACCCGCTTTTGTTTTGTTTTTAATTTGCAATTTAACGTTAATGGACCGGTAAAAGATATTAAGTTAAAATAAACTATTTTCCTTTTGTTTATTTGCTTATAAGATATTCTTTAAACGCGTTAAAACTGTTAAGAAATATAGTAAATATCTTCTACAAGTAAATTAAGAATTTCATATTCAAGTGTTCGTTTTATTCTAAAATATATAAAACTTTAATTGCTAAATTTCATTAAAAAAAAGTGTTTTATAAATAGTCAATGAAATGCTTGAGGATCGATTTGAAACACTGAGTTTTTGTCTGGAAAACTAAAGACAAGTTTTTTGAAAAATTCTTTTATTATGCAATTAAGTTTATTATGCAAAATATGCTGTCTAGTCATATTTTCTTTTATTTTAAATAAAATGTTGGGACTTGGATATATTAAAATGCGACAGCGCAACGTTAGAATTAAGTTGTTTCAAGCCCACGTTGTTTGGTTAATACTAACATTTAAATTTGTTTGCTTCTAAATTAAAACAAATTAAATTTTTTATAATAGTTGCTCATTAATAAATAAATAAAACGTTTTTATAAATAACGCTAACGCCTATATCTTGACCCACCCACTTTTGGAGAACAAAAAAACTTAAAATAAAATTTTTTAATTGTGATACATCTAATATATTTGTAATAAATAGTTTTGAGTAACCATTACATTTTTAACAACAGTTCTAAGAAGTTTGGCTCAAATCAGAACGCTCGGGTATGATATTCGGGTAGAATGGAAGAGAGATATGTGTTTGGTACAAAAAGGTACGTAAGGAGGAACGTATTAGTTAACAGAAGATTAGAAATTAACTTTATCGTAAGCATGTCGTCATCATTATGTTGCAACTTGCACTTTCTATTTGCTGTATAACCAAGTTTAACTCTCCATTGAGTATTATTTGAAAAAACTAAGTAAACAAATAATTTTATTAGGATTTCAAATGCTGTTTATAAAAAACCCTTCTTGTATTTGAAGTATTGTTTCGTAAACGCAAGAACATATTTAGCATAACTAAAGACTTTTAAAATATTCTTTTAATGAAATCCATTTTAATTCAATGTTATAAAATACAAATGAGTACAAATAAGCAAAGAGGGGAATTTATAGCTAAATGGTTTACTTTAATAATTTTTAGTGAATAAAATCAACAGCAGGCATATTACATGCCGCATGTATGAATAGTTTACTACCTTACTGACCAAAAAACAATATGTAATCATTCCGAATTCTAATAGATTAAAGATTTTAAGTAGAACTTTACAAGATTCAATCCTCAGCCCACTCCTATTTTACATTTAAAGAAATTGTTTATGTTAATATATATATACAACTTTTGCAATATATCTGCAAAGTCAAATAAAACATGATACTAATTTTTTTATGTCCAATAGCAATATTATTCAGCTATATGGAGATATTAATATAAAGCTGATGAAAGTAAATAATTGTTTCAGAGCCAACAAACTCTCAATTAATGTAAATAAAAAGCAATACACATTGTTTTGTAAATAAACACAAAAAGAAAATCTGCCACTTAAATTGCCAAATCTTTGTGTAAATGATAAACAAATAAAAAAATAAGAATTTTAAAAATACTTAGGAATTTTTATAGAAAAAATAACTAATCTTTGATTCAAAAATAGACAAAACAACTGGCATGATGTACCAAATTAGTCCATTCATAAATGTTCGAAGTTTTAAATTAATGTACTTCGACCTGATTCATAGCTACATTAATTATATCAACATTAGCACACAATCCGCTAAACTTCAAAAGGTATTTAGAGTGAAAAAATATGCTAGAAGAATTATATACAACAAATATAAATTTCTTCATAAAAAGTCATTAATAAGGAACATGAAAACAATGAATGCATACAAGATAAAAAAATTTCAACACACAGTCTTCATGTCAGGGCCGGATTAACGTACTGCGCTGCTCTAAATGCTAAAGACTAATGAAAATTTTAATGGGGAAGAGGCTTTAACAATATGACTCCAAAGGGTCAGTTCGAGGTATTCTTAACTGGGAGGAGATCTTAAAGACAGGGGTCTTCTTAAGAGCCCCCTTCTCTTTCATTTAGGTTTCTTAGTTATCGCTGTAAACTCCTCCAGCGGGGTCTGCGAGGGTCTTGGAAATCTAAAATCATGCACAAGAATATTATACTTAAGAATATCTTACACTCTATGGTGTTATTTAGTTCTGATACTTTTGAAATTATATTAAACAGATCAAATACACTTGTCAAATTACTATGAATAACTAAATTCAAAAAGTGAACTACACAAGGGATTTTGATGGCAATTTTTTTCATTTTTATTTTAAAATTTATTACATCATTTTTTTTATAATAATGGAGACCCCTGATAGAATTATTTTTAGGAACTGATGTCCTGTATAATTCTGACAGCATTACTGTAACAAAAAGTTATTATCAACTGACAGCATTACTGTAACAGAAGTTATTACATAAAACATGAAATCCTTAATTAATTATTCTTATAGACTTTTTTGACGCAATGTCCGTAATTAAATATCTCTTATAAATTTAATGAGTCAAGAGCTTAAAAAGCTCTTGACTTATTAAAGTTCGTTTGGGACTGTTTAAATGCTTCAGCACTGAAAATAACATTTCAGCTCTGCAATTAGTGACCAATAAGTTCAAAAATATTTGCACTGTCAATGTCAATGCCAAACGCTGTATCAACGTGTCAACGTAAGGAAAACATTTTCGATTACATCAATTTTTGATATTACTCTAAAGGGCAACTCAATTATCTACAGTATTAACTATTTATAACAATCCATTATGTTATTTAAGTATGAATATAAGTTTGAAATTAAATATTTTATAAACTTTATATGATTTTTTCCTAATTTTTCTTCATGAAATAAATCAAATAATCACAATTTGTTATAAAATAATAAAAATTAAAAAAATTAGAAATTAAATTATTAAAATTAAAACAAGTGTTCATTTGTATCAAAAAAAAAAATTGTGGCCAAAATAAAACAAAATTAACAAAACTTAATAATTTGCGGTCTTGACAAAATTTGCAGCCGTGGCGCAATGGTTAGATGCTTGCTTTAGAAGCAGTAGATCCAGGTTCGAAACGAGCTCTGGACATATTTTCGCGTCAAGCGGAGCTCTGTGACAAGACCGTTAGGTCTTCTTGGGGCACCTATATAACAAAATTAAAAAAAAAAAAAAGAAAAAAAAAAAAAAGAGATTACTTGTGGTGCCGAAAGTTGAATAGTTGGATAGTTGTGATAGTTGTGGTGCCAAAAAATTATATATATATATATACATTTTTTTTGCAGATATACATATGAAACTACTGCAAATCAGCTGCAAAGTTGTTTTTTAGATCCTCTGGGTAAAAATCAATAAATTTCTAAGTGCGTTCAACATAAAAAACATTAGAAACTTGAATTTAATATAGATATGGACCTATATCAGCTATAACTAAAAATATCTTTGTTATATATATAACAAATTTGTTTTTTTTTTAATTTTTGTTATATTTATATATATATATATATATATATATATATATATATATATATATATATATATATATATATATATATATATATATATATATATATATATATATATATATATATATATATATATATATATATATATATATATATATATATATATATATATATATATATATATATATATATATATATATATAGGGGAGAGCGGGGTTGGTTGTCACACTTTTTACATTTTAGGCTTCTCAGCTTTTAATTTTCATCCAATCAATGCCAAACTTTGCACAAAGCTAGTTTAACTATTTCCAGTAACTATTATAATATTTTTATGACATTGAGTGAAATATTTATTGCTGTAAAATCATTTTTCAAAGACCACTTCTGTGTGACAACTAGCCCCGCTCACGGGGTAGGTTGTCACATGGTGCGGGGTTGATTGTCACATTTGGATTTTGACAAGTTTAGATAAGAATTTAATGTAAAACGAGTACAAATTAATTTCGTTTATGTTTTACTAAGAAAAATAAAAATAAAATACTATAAACTGAAATATATATATTTTAAATATAACACAATTAACAAATTTAGTTTATCACTATAAATGTTTTTAGGTTTGGTTTTTTTAAAAAATTATTGGATAAAGAACACAATTCACAAATAAACTGTTGTCAGCCTGGTGTGCATTCTTCATGAGACCGTTTTTGGCAAACCTGACATTGAATCCACTGTTCTCTTGATCGGCTGTTGGAAAATGATTCAAAACAATAGATGCACTAAATATAAACAATGCACAAACAAAACAACAGACAGTTTTACAAACTAAACAACAGCTAGTTGTTTAGTTTGTAAACAAAACAATAAACAGTTGAACTTCTGCAATCCTTTTTCTATAATTATACTAAACATTGGATCGGAATCTAAAGTTATGCACGTTGAAATAAAAATAATTTAGATTACAGATATTTAGTTAAACAAATATAACACTTTGACTTTAGATTTTTAAATAATATCTTAAACATTAAAATATTCCTCAATAATGCGGAAAATAAACAAAGCCAATAAAAAATCTGCAAGCGGCGTTTAATTTGCAGCGCATGGAGTCGAGGCAAGTGTGACAACCATCCCCATATATTTTGTGACAAGCAACCCCTTCTGAGTAAGTTGCTGGACAACTGTACATTTACCTAAAAGCGTGAGAATTTCATGATAATTTTTTACGGATTAAGTTACTCAAATGAATAAAGTACTTTATAAATCTACATTCAAAACACAATAAAATAATGTTCGTTTGGTAAAAGAAAATTTCTGAGTAGGCGAAATTTTACTTTTTCAAATCAAAAACCTTTAAAAACGAATAACTTTTCTTCTGCACGCTAAAAAAAGATAAAAATTACTGTAAAAATGTTTTTTTTATATAACATTACCATTGCATAATTTGAAATTTCTATATCTTATTTACATTTCCTGTAATAAACTTTGTGACAACCAACCCGCGTGACAACCAACCCCGCTCTCCCCTATATATATATATATATATATATATATATATATATATGTATATATATATATATATATATATATATATATATATATATATATATATATATATATATATATATATATATATATATATATATATATATATATATATATATATATATATATTTACAAAAAGAATACATAAAAATAACATAAAAACAAAAAATCGTACTTAAATAAATGAATATAAATTTTACTCAAGTATAAAATAAAATTTGAACACCTGACAATAAAACATTATTTCATCACGAGGTAAATTTAAAATACTTTAAGGTATTTTCAATAGAGAGAATGAAATCTTTTTTAAAAACAGATAAGTCGAAGTTAGACAAAACATTTTTGTTCCAGAGATGCGCGTTAAATGATACAAAATTGATTGAATTTTGTTTAATATAGAATGGTTCATTTTAAATAATTATTATTTCTCATGTTAAACTTGCTTAATGGGTTCAAAATAAAAAGGTCTTTATAAACTAAAGGAGATAAATTTTACTTCCACATATAAACAAAAGAGAAATTTTTATATACGTTTAGTTTATACATATGTCTTGCATGATTATAAAACTTAGTTTATATCTCGGATATCTATGATTTAAAAATATAGAGGAATTGTTTAAAAACTATCGAGGAAATAATAAATATGAGGAATTGTTTAAAAACGTAGAAATAATAAATATGAGGATATTGCCAAATAGCTCTCTAATTTCAAATACCAAAGTAATAGTTTGTCGTGTCAGTGTTGTCATTATTTCGTTTTTTACATTCTTCTTTTAACAGCTTTGATTTGTACCGTTCAGATTCAGTCAAATCAGGATTTATAAATACATTTTTGTAGATTTTATCTTTCTTCAATTTATCAGTTAAAACAACAATATGTCAGGACCGACGACATGGGTTTCGAAGCGGGGGGGAAGGGGGGGGGACAGAGGTGGTTGGAAATCTTCAATTTTTTAAAAAAAGTCGTCTGTATCTAGAATTTTCTTATATTTAAATAAAAAAAAGGTCCTTTAGAAAAATAGTGGGAAGGCACGTGCTCCCTCCTTCCCCCGGTGTCGTCGGCCCTGTATATGGAGCTTTATATCTTTATTTTTTGACTTTAATTTGATAACAATATTTATTTTGACATTGACCTTTAACTTTTGCATGATTGCTTCAATATTTTGTTTATCTTCTTAAATTGCTTTGACTTTATCACTTAATGCTGATTCCTCTAAACCGAAAATAACCAAGTTATTTTCTTTTTTTATCTCTTTCTTTGGTTTCATTTGCGATTGTATTAATAATTTGCATTTGATCTAGAGTTTTTTTTTTTACTTTACTAGCCCAATTACCTGTTACTGCTGGACTAGATTTAAAATTTTCTAAATCAAGAACCCTCTTAGTCCGGTTCTTAAATTTTTATTAACTTTTTTAAATCTACAACTATTGCTTCTTGTTCTCACTTGTAAATATCGAAATTGTCTAGTTGCAAGTTAACTATTTGGATTACTGGAAAAATTAAATTAAATAATTTCTAACTTTTTAATTTTTTATTAACACAAATAGAACTGTTAGTTTTTTGGGTTTATTATATTAAGTGTTAAGAAAGTAACTTTTCTATGTGGCTTTATGATACTGATAACGTTTTTTTTTTAGTTTTTAGTGACAAAAAACGAGAAAATGAGGAAAACAAAAAGTCGAAGAAGGCGTGATCACTAAAATTCTGCTACAAGTTAAAGGTTAAGTGATTGAAATTTGCCAGACTTATTGCATTATTGAGTATATTTTATGAAAGTTTTTAGTATCCTTTAATCTTTTATGTTTGTTATATTTTATGCTCCAAATATACTTTATTTCTTGCAGTGTTTTATAAACTGTTTTAAGTTTGCTCCACACTGTCCTTGCAATCCTGCAAGATGAAAAGGGGTGTAATATTGTTCTTGTTGACCATAAGATCTACAGAGTGAGCTACCTTGTTCTCTATTTTTTCTTCATAGCTGTGACTTTTCCATTGTTGAGAGGCTATTTTTAGTTCCCAGTTAGTTTTCACCTTGTTAATGCGAATGTTGCTATCGTTGTTTAAAAGTATTTTGTATATATTGCTAGACAATTTATTTTTTAATAAGAATAAATTGCCATTTCTTTTTAGGTCTCACTATGTAATTTAGATATTGTGGTTTATCCTCCTTCAGCTAGTTGCGATACAGAGGCCACATTACCAAGGCTTGTTAAGACAAGTTCAGCTCATTAAAGAGCATCATAACACGCTTCTCAGACTAAAAGTAAGTGATTTTGAAAAGAACTAAGGTATTAAAGTGAAAGTCAGAAGAAGTCAAGTTAGAAATATAGCATAGAGAACACGGACAAGAATTGCACACGATGTTAGAAGGTGCATTACGTACTGTTAACTAGGTCAGCTAAATAATGTACGCCGACAAAGACTTGATTGGAATTCACTTGAATGAACTCTTCCCCAATCTTCTTAGTAATTCATGTATATTGTATTGGAAATTTTTTAGAAGTTAAGCATTAAATGCAATATTTAAAATAATAGACACTTTATATTCATTTTTGCTTCTGGCATTTCAAAAATTTTAAAAGCGAAAATTCATTTTTCAAAATACTCGATTATCTAAAAGCATTATTTATTTAAAAAGATTTTTATTAAAAAATAATAATAGCATAGTAAATTCTACTTACGTAGATTACAATACTATTTATCTATATCATTAAGGAAATGTGACGATTTTAACTGTATTAATTTCAACGTTTTTCCTTTAAATGCTTTAATTTAAACCTTTAAACTGAGTATTATAGAAACACTTACCTCTCTTTTAGGATGCTAATGCAGCCATAACGCAAAAATTAATGCAAATAACTTTGAATTTAAAAAAAAAACGTTGCGTTGCCTTTATTCCAGAAGCTTTTTTTTTAAATATTATTTTACAAAACATCATAATAATAAAAATCGCGTGTGGATTATTTAATTAGTTCGCACACAATTTTATTACGCTTTAATATCTCTAATGTTTTTTATAGTGATGTAGTGGTAAATGTTTAAATATAGTATATTTTTTATAGTGATGTAGTGGTAAATGTTTAAATATTTTTTATAGTGATGTAGTGGTAAAGCGCTCGCTTAGTAAGCGAGAAGTTCCGGGTTTGATTCCACCATGTACCGCGCTCAAATTGTCCATCAAGGTTTAATTTATTTAGAGTAGCGGTAATAAATAGTTGTAACCGATAGTTTTTTTTACTGAACATTAGAGCATGTTTATAAATTCTATCATTTTGTTTTAAATAACTATAAACAACAAAGTTTTTATGAGAATAATCTGAGTAGTTCTTTATAGATAGAGTTCACACCCGTAAAAATGAATTGAAATATCGTACTACGTAGCCAGAATACTTTTTTACTTATAATAAGTTAATTAAAATATAAAATATTTTCAACGTTGCGCTAGCCAAAACGTTAAAAAAAACAAAACAAACTTAATTACAATCGAGAGAAATTTGATGAATTAAATAATTATTTTAAATTTCTTCAATGGGAAAATGAGTTCAATGGTTTGGAAATATTCAAATATGACGAAAAATAGCTTAGCCTTTATCAAGAAAGATTCTTGATACCGGCTACTCTTTGTTTCAATCAAACTGGAAAGTATTTAAACCAATAAAAATTCTTAATTGTTAAATAAAAAGCCTCGTTGAATGAAAAAAAAAACGTTTAGTTTAAATGAAGAAGAAATAAAATTCACGGACATACATTTAACAAGATAAAAATAAATAAATTAAATCAAAGAATTAAAGATTTTGAACGTGATTATGCTTTAAAAGTTTAACCGAAGAAAGCTTATGCATATTGCGACGTTAGAATTATCTTGTTTTTATCTCCACTTATTGAAAAAGGTATTAGTGTGATTTGAATAAAAAGATTTGCATACAGTTTGCCTGAAGTCACCAACACAAAGCATAGTTAATGACAGCTATATGACGTCGTTCATAGATAAGTTTCGCTGTTAAGGAGTTAATGATATTTCATAATTTTAATTCTAACAAAGTTGATTTACTTTACTCAAACAAAGTTAATTTACTTTATTCAAACAATGTTAAACACACTTGCTGTAAAATTTTATATAAGATAAATCAAACGAATTCCATTTTTATATAACAAATTTTTTTAATTTTTTGATACATTCAAATAGATATCTATAAAAAACTAGAATTCAAAAGGAATCTCAGTTAATTTTATAAAAAAAACATTCAGGAGAGTAAAAAAAAGTGTATTCTTTAAGTGATCGTTAGCACACAAATCTCGATTCCATTTATTCAAATTTTATGCCTTGAGCAAGAGGTAGTTTCTTGCTATAGTTGATCGTACTAAAAATTATTCACATATGTTAAAGAACTAAAATTAAATTGAATGCACGACAAGAAAAACAACAAACAACAACAATAACAACAAAAAAAGAACCAAAAAGAAGGCAAAGCTAACATTTTAATTATAAATTTTGCCCAGTGTACATTACTGTATAATTTAAAATATAATTACCTCGTATTAGATTTTGGAATATTAAAAATACATATTTATTAAGACATACAAAATTATCTATATATAGGTAAAAACTGATTAGGGGAGAGTGTCCATGAAAGTACCAGGCTTCAAAAAAAACTGATGCGATTATTTATAACTATTTCTAACGGCATTCGATGTATTTTTATTTTATTAGAACTATACATTTTTTGTGAGTGGCTAAAATTTGGATGGATCCAGTGTTACATTGAAAGAGAAAAATACAATTATGGTCAAATGCCGGAAAGTTAGAAATGATCTTATCGGCTTTTTCATAGCCTCGCTCTTTCATGGACACTTTCCTAAACTTTATTTTAATAGAGTTTATAATAATAATAAAAAAGAACTTACCATGTTGACCTCCTCATGTATTGTTTCCAGGCATCACTTCCTGATTCACGGCCACCACCGGTGTGTTTTTCGCCTCCAAATGCGCCTCCGATTTCAGCTCCCGAAGTTGGAATATTAACATTTACAATGCCACAATCTGAGCCTGTGGGACCTACCCATTTAAAGATTCGTTCTATATCTCTAGTGAATAGACTACTTGATAAACCTAAAATTAAAAAAAAATATAACATGAAAAACAAATAATTGATAAGCAACATGCATTTATTTCTGTGTGGCAATAAAACTGTTATATAGAATTTCTCTTTATTATATTTTATAGTAGATTATTATATTTTATTATATGTTCTTTATTATATCTTATATAGAATTTCTCTTTTTATATATTATATATATGTTCTTTATTATATTTTTATATTTATATATTATATATATGTTACTATATTTATATTATTATATTTTATTTATATTTATTTTATTTATATTATATTTATGTTATTATATTTATTATATTTATGTTATTATATTTATGTTATTATATTTATATATTATACTTATGTTCTTTATTATATTTTATAAAGAATTTCTTTTTATTATATTTTATCGTATAACCTGATACAACTCAACATCAATAATTTATACAAGTAGTAAGAATAAACCATACATACTAATAATATATTATCAGATTAATTTTATTTTTCAAACTATTCATGTAATTCAAACTTACTCCTTTAAATTACTGAATAAAACTTTGTGGATATAAAAAAACAACTTTGAAAATTTTTATTTACCTTGATTGACTTCATTATTCCATTGAATAGCTTCGTCAATATTTTTACATTTGAACACATACAATATTGGCGCAAAAGTTTCAGTATGAACTATGGGTGCATTATGGGCAATGTCAAATATAATAGTTGGTTCAACATAGTTACCAGGTTGGTTAAGAACCTATAAATTCAAATAAAAAATGTTTAAACCAGAAATAAACACATCAAAACCCAAGTGAAAATTTCTAAAATAAAAAGAATATCACAAAACTCACGCGACCACCAAAAGCAACTTTTCCACCCTTTAAAATAAAAAAAATAATTATTATAACTATTATAAAAAAAGCCAACAAAAAATATAGCATACAAATATGATGTAATATTAAATACCTGAACTTGTGCATCGTGTACAGCTTTTTCAAATGACTTTACTGCTTGACTAGTGTGTAATGGACCACATAAAATTCCGTCTACAAAATGAGAGAGTAAAAATTTAAATCACTAACGTCTTTTTGAAAAAACTTATATTTATTGCGATATCAATGATTTACCGTCTAATGGATTGCCAATTTTTATTTGTTTATAGGCTTTCACGATACGTTCTAACACCACATCGTGGATAGCTTCATGAAGGATCTACAAACACCAGAGTTAGAAATTTTTTTAAATTAAAAAATTAAGATAAATTGTATTATGGTGCAAGGCAGCATTAACAATGTTTACATATTAAAAAAAAAAACACAACAAAAAACAAAGATTTATAATTACAAAAAATATCTAGCATATTTATTTGGTATTATACATCAATATACAATTGTATTAGATATCTGTTATATAATAAAACACAATGTATAATTATTATACAACATATTATATAACATATAATAACGTATTAGTATAATATTAACAAATAGTATATATTATATATTAATATAAAATTATACAAATAAATAATAAAAATATAATAAAGAATAACTTCCAATATATGTGCATATTACAACTACATACTATTAAAAAAAAATCATCAATATTCTATAACTAATTTTTTGTTAATAGCTAAAATCTAAAGAAAAATACATAAATTAAGGTAAATACAAAACCTATGAAAAACATTTTTTAAGCAACAAAGTTATTTTTACAATAAAAATACAAACATTTGTATCTTTATACTTATGTCAAATGATGCTTCGCAAAAAATTGTGATGATTGGAGGCTGGGAACAAAAAAAGTCTAAAATTTCGTCCCCCTTACCCCTAACATACGAGGAACAAGATGATATTTTTTTGTTATTCTAAACGAAATTAAGCATTAAAGTTAAAAAAACAAACATGCCTCGAAATTTTATGAAAAAATTTGCAAAAAACAAAAACTTCAAAACACAAATTCACAAAAATTAAAAATTGATAAACAAAAATTGGCATGGTAGTTTTACATATGTACAACTTTCATAGGACTTTTGCATTTGTTTCACTGGTTCAGATTATATTGACTTAAGTATAGATTTTTTTGAAAAAACTATGACTGATAAAACTATATTGAACCCCCCTCCCCACCCCCAAATAAATAAATAAATTAAAAAAAAAAAAAAGAATTAAAATATCTTAAGACAAATAACAAATAAACTCTACATGTACAAAGAACATCTGCTGCAAATTTTAGCATATTCATTTTAAAATAATCAAAAATTAAAAAAAAATTTCAAACAATTATAAGCAAAATGTGACTTGAAAACACGTCCAGAACCTTAAGTCTATATTATATTTGAAAAGTCTAGACACTTCAAGTCTATATTATATTTGAAAAAGAAATTTTTTAACACTTGTCAATTTGATTGGCTAAAATAAGGTCTCAGTTTTCTTTTGTTATGGCATTGCTAAGGTAAACAAACTAATAAAATAATTAGCTAGTCTAAAAAAATAGTATTTTGAACGCTTTTAGTTTGATGGAAACTAAAAGAGTCATTATCAGCAGAAAAAGAATAAATTTTACATTTAAATAACTGATTAACTATTTGTTCAAGTTTTGTTTTAAAATCTCTCTCTCTCTCTCTCTCTCTCTCTCTCTTTCTATTATATATATATACATATATATATATATATATATATATATATATATATATATATATATATATATATATATATATATATATATATATATATATATATATATATATATATATATATATATATATATATATATATATATATATATGATAAATGTATAGTGTACTATTGCGGCAGAAAGTAAGTATACACCCTACCCAAATCGTAAAAATAGTAGTTTAATGTGGTATTTCTTATTTTTAGAAACATAATAGAAGCAATTATTGCATTCTGTGAATTTACTCAATCAATATTCTTTGCACTTCCTGTTTACAATAGCAAGTGTGACTCATGTTGTGTACTAAAAATTAAACTTGTTAATTTTTAATTAACTTTGTATTGTTTAATTGTGCAAATTTTGAAGACAAGATTAGTAATTGTTTTACAATGTTATACTATTGTTATTATAATTAAGTTTTTAATAACAATTAACAAATAACTTTTTTTTATTGTCCTAAAAACTTTCAATTTCAAAATGGTTCTGACCAGTTTTGACTTTAAGCCAAGTCATTAATAAATTATTATTATCCATTGTTGAGATGCATGTTGGGTTTTAGAGAATTTTTAGTTACAATTTGTTAGTTTAAGCTAATACTAATTTATTAATGTCTTTGGTTTTTCATTATTCATATTTGGCCATTTGTCTGATATATTTTGTGTAATTATTCATTTTTATATTTGAAGGTATGCCCAAATATCGTCGACTGACAACAGAAGAAAGACTTTGCGCAGTGTTCTTGGCAGAAACAGGTGCAAGTTTAAGAAAAATAGCCAGAGAACTTAAAGCAACACCAATGGGTATTAAGAAAATAATAGATAAACATATCGAAACTGATTCAACAGCTGATAAGAGGCGATCTGGAAGACCAAAGAAAACAACTCCACACACTGACAGAGTGTTAGTTCGAATGTCCTTGCAGGATCGTAGACTCACTGCCCCTCAACTCGGTCGAAAACTTTCTGAAGAACATGGGGTTACTCTGGCAACTCGAACTGTATGTCAGCGCCTTCTGAAAGCAGGTCTTTGTGGATGTGTGGCTGCAAAGAAGCAACTGCTTTCAGCTACAAATGTTCATCGATGATAGGCATTTGCCAAAGCACACAAAGACTTGACAGTAGATGATTGGAAACATGTTCAGTGATGAAAGTTCTTTCAAGTTGTTCCTTAGTTCTAAACGAGTAATTGTGCGAAGAAGAGTCGGTGAAAAATTCAGTAAAAACTGTATTGCGCCAACTGTCAAGCATGGAGGAAAGAGTTTAATGATTTGGGGGTGTTTGTCTGGCTATGGGCTTGGGCACCTTTATCGATGTACTGGAAGTATGAACCAACACCAGTACATTGATGTACAACAAAACACAATGTTTCCTTCTGCTAGTGCACTGTTTGGGCAACTTAACTCGTTCTTCTTTCAGCATGACAATGCACCATGCCACAAGGCTAAGACTGTCACAGATTTTCTTCGGCCTAATCAGGTGGCAGAACTTGATTGGCCTGCTCAGAGCCCGGACATGAATCCGATTGAAAATTTGAGGAATATTATGGCAAATAACATTGAAGGAAAGAGACCATCTAATTTGGATAGTCTTTGGTTAATTTTGCAAGATGCATGGAACAATATTGATGATGTTACAATTACTCGCCTGTTTGAGTCAATGCCAAACCGTATGAAACATGTTATTCAAGCGCGAGGTTACCATACAAAATATTGATCAAACTGCATGTTCTTGATACAGAGTGTTGTTTTTGATGATTCTGATAAATAAAATTTGTGTTTGCAATAATTTACAGTGTTTTTAATTGCTTAAAATAATAAATGTATGCAAAACTCAATAGTGTATACTTACTTTATGCCGCTATAGTATATAATATATATGTATGTATATATACATATACACACACACACATATATATATATAGTTTATATAATATTTATGTATGTATATATACATATAAACACACACACACAGATATATATATATATATATATATATATATATATATATATATATATATATATATATATATATATATATATATATATATATATATATATATTATTAATATATATTATTAATATATAAATATGTATAATATATATTATAGATATATGCTGCAAAAATTAGAAATTTTTCAAAACTAAATAAAAAACAATATTTTTCTAAAGAGAAATATGAAAAAAAAATATATCCAAGTGATTCTATCCCACCTAGTATGTATGGAGTAATCAACCAGAAATTTATAAACCGGAAAAGTCGTACCCTATGAGAATAATTGTTTTAACCATTGGCATACCAAACCACGGATTATCAGAATTCTTAGTTAAGACAATACAACCAGTCTTAAATGAAAATCCAACACAATTAAAAACTCTTTTGACTTATAATATAATGCCATTTTAATTGCATTATAAAATAATGCAATTAAAATGGCATTGACAATAAATTCTGTACTTAATATAAATCATTTTTACAATACATTGGCGATAGTCATGCAAGATATCTTAACATTGAACAAGCAAAACAATTCCAAGTTATGTTAAATCAACAACATCCTCCAATGCAATACACAATTGAAGTCGAAAACAAGTCAAAAACGCTTAACTTTCTTGAAGTAACCATTATAAATAACACAATAGGAAAATATGAGTACAAAGTATATCGAAAAGAGGAAATTACAGAACAGTATTTAAATCAAACCCAACTTTAATAACATCAAAAAACAATCAAAGCTACCTAGTAACAGCCAGCCTTGAACCTTTATAACTTAATGCAACTATTCCAAAGTTTACATAAATCAAACAAAAACGCAGGTAAATACGCGGATGCATCAACATCAGAGGAACATTAACAACAAAAAAAGGATATCAGAGAAGCATTGACAAAAGGAAACCTAATCAATCTGCATTAGTATTTCATAAAACCTTTTGCAAAGAATATATTATTTAGGAAAAGAACATTAAAGGTAGAAAATAAAAAGTTTGAAAGAAAAATTAGGGAGACACTAGAAATAAAAAATAATGTGGTCTGCACAAAACAGCAGGATTATTCTTGATGAAGGCCAATATGTCAAAACTATGTTTTGGATGCCATTTTTTAAATTTAAAAACAAAAGAAGCCATTCACCCGCTGATGTCAATAGTAACAATTTTATATCAACTACAGGACATTTTATATTGTAATATTTTCAATTATCTTTACATTATATTTTTTTTCATATTGATTGAACTACAGAATAGAATATTATAAGTCTCTTTTCAAAAGTTTCTTTTCTGTCAGTGATAACTAGAAAGAAAAAAAGTAAATTAATATATTGATGCCTCTAATACATAAGTTGTCCTGCGCCTCATATTTTCTCTGACTTCAACCCCTGTATATATACATAATAATTAACCAGAATTTTTTTAATTAAAAACATACTCTTTAATGGAACTATATAAATAAAAATCTTTACAAAAAAGATAAATAAAATTCAAACAATAGAATCTCTTTTTAAACATAAAGTTTTTTCTAAACTATCAAGCTCTTGCAATTTTAAAAGTTTATCTTTTGATAACTTTCTTGAATCATTTGAAGTAACTATAAAACTGAAATCCTTTTTTTCCTCTGCTTTGAATGCATATTTATCTGCTTTGAATGCATATTTATCTGCTTCTTTTATTAAATGATGCTTGAAGTTTTTTCTTTTTTCAAACAACATCAATTTCAATGGAAACAGCTTTTCTTTTTAAACAAAGTTGATATCTCTTTAACTTTTTTTGCACTTTCCAACCCAACTTCATATCACATTCTTGATGATTTAACAGATTTCAACATTTCTCTAGTAACTGGAATATCAGAAGCATTTAGTCCCTTTGATGACATGTGATCATTTACTATTCGTAAGGCAATTAGTGAACCTTCACTTAAATTTTCAACTAAATAATCCTTATTTACTTTGAATCCGCATTCAACGGCAGCCTGGTCATGAGACAAACAAAATAAAATTATGCAGACATCCAAAAGAGATGTATATTCATTTACAGGTATATACTGAGCAAGAAATATATCCAAGCTATCTTCATATTTTTTGAATGACAAAAAATCTGTATCATGTTTACAAACAACATTTATTATAAATTGAAAATACTCATCATTTGCTTTGTCACCAACTTTTGATTTTAAACATCCAGAAGCCACTAATTTTTGTAATAATTTAGAAAACTTTTATTTGTTACACTCTAGTTCTCTGCTATCTGCTAATTTAATTGGATCCAGACAAGATGAACACCTGACAATAAGATATTTTATGCGAGATTTTTCTAACATATGAGTTACAAGTGAAGATGAAAATATGCATACATCTTTGTAAAATTTTAAAACTGTGTTTCCTTTTAATGTTGATAATTTTTGGCATTTTTAAACTTCATATTTTCCATATTGGCAGACGGACCAATATCAATTGTATCTTCTCTTTTGTATAACATTGGATCTGATAGATTTAGCTTCATTATTTTCTTAATTGTATCAGATTTTTCTAATACATCATTCAATAAAAACATACTGAGAATGTTAACTGATATGCTTTTTGAATCATCAAATATAAATGGGACCATTGGTTTATGGTCACTTCGGAAACCTTTCAGAAATAGATTTAACTTTTCAGCTATAAATTAAACAAATTTTAATTTAGCAATAAACAAAGGATTTTATTTTCATTGTATCCTTTAAAACATTAAACCACTTTCTATGAGGATGCTTTGATTTTAGTAAACTTTGTAAGTGTTCACAGGCTTTCACAGGAAGACGTGCGATTTCACGTCTTTATATGACCACGCAAGTTACATTTTGCTATGACGGCTAATTCAAAAAATATTTAAGAAACGCGCTAAATAAAAAATATTCTAAAAAAGTGAAATTAATTAGATCAAAACTTCTTAACAAATGTTTTTATATTAGCGAAACGATTTTAAATAAAGTAACAATTTACTGAAAAAAAGTTTTGTTTTTTAAATATAATTGACAGTTGTATATACTTTTTTAATTTAAAACATATAAATTGTTTAAGTGTTCATTTCTAAAGTAAATCTTATTAAAAAATAAAAAATTGTTTTGTTTTTATAAACGATGACATTCTAGGACTACAAAAGTCTCTTTAACAAATTTAAATATAAAAATGATTAAAGTTTAATGCATTTAAAAAGATAAACAAAATTTCGTTAAAAAAAGTTTTAGAAAACCGTTACAATTTAATAAGTTTGATCTTAAATGCTTTTATATTATTGAAATGCTTTTAATGAAGTAAAAAAAAACACTTCTAATTAATTTAAAAAAAAGTATTTATAAAATGTTTTTTTATTTTATTTATATAATGATGTATTTTTTATGAGAAATATTTAACTTTTGAACATATTAAACAAATAAAAAATATATAAAAATGTTGAAACAAAGATTGAAAAGGTTTTTTAATGCGTAAATTAAATAGGCTAAGCATTTTAGTTTGATGAGTTTTGTTTTAGTTGCCTTATATATATATACTTATTTTTTTATGTTTTTGCTTTAAGTATTTTTTTTTATTTTCTCTTATGTTAATATTTATTACTTTTAAAAATTTTTTTTTATATTTGCTTTTTATTTTTTATAAATACTTGCTGCTCGTTCACAACAGTTTTGATTCTCACACCAACGATGGCCACAATAAGGTAAAGAGTAAACCTTTATCTCAGATACAATTTCATACATTTCTAAACGCGAAGGACATTCATTGAGAAACTTCCATATTGCTTTAAATTTTTCACCAAGCTTCAATTTAGATTTAGTGATGTTTTTAGGCTTCCATGAATTGTGTGGAGGCCACACGTGCCAATATCTATTAAGGCTGGATACTCATTAAATTCACGATTTTCTTTTAAAAGTCCTAAAAGCTTTAAACTGACATTGGGGCCATCTGAAGATATTTGAATTATTTTTTGTATGTTAAATTATTAAAATCTTTTAACACCTTGGTTAAAAGATTTTAATAATTGCTCTGAATTTGCACCTCCTAAAAATTGTGAGTCAAGATATCTTGTAAAAACCTGATTTGAATAATGGTTCCAGAATTGTACAATAATGTCCATTTGACCTTTTTGCATAGTCTGATTTAATGACTCATCAAACGATATTACAAAAACAGGTGATAACAATATTTCTTTATATAACAAATCAAGAAAGTATAGTGCAATGCCAAACTTTGTAATATATATACACTTTTTTCGACCTATCTGAAACTTTTTTGCAATGTTACTATCAGAAAACATTGACATAAAAAGTGAGTTTAGTTCTTCACATGATCTTTGAAAAGATTTTGATAAAACCACATGTAATACCCATTTAATTTCAGCAGTTATTACTTGTTCATTTATAAATACCATATCCAATGTTTTAGAAGTAGATGGCTTTTCAATAACCTGAATTGTACTAGTTTTTAAAGGTGATGAAATAATTGATTCTGAAAAATAACTGCATAATAAACTTGATGCAGGAGGTAATAACTTATTATGTTTTTTACTTTTAAGATGACTTTTCAATTCATTTTTACCCATATTTCTAACATTAGTGTCTTTTTTACAAAAAGAACATGATGCAACTGTCATACTTTTTTAATCATGAGTATTTGACTTTATAAAAATCCTGGAAATTCCTTTTCTATGATAATCCTGGAAAATTATTTTATTTAAAACTGATCGCATTTATCTGACAAACGGAATTTAGATTATTTTAAAATGGAATTTAGATTAGTTAAATTTTTACAAAAAGGAATTTCTAATATTTGAAAAAGTTTGAATGAATTAAAAAGCAAAAAAAAAAAAAAAAAAAAAAAAGAAAAAAAAATTGTTACAAAAATTGATCTCGTGAAAATCTTAATTATAGAAAACATATTTGTTTAAATGCAAGAAATGTCATATGTAAAATTTTATGTAAAAATTTATTAATTATTTTCAAATTAGTATCAAAAAACATCTATGTTTAATAATCCAATTTTTATATTCAGGTGCTTGCAACCATGTATTTGAAAAATATGAATCTCGAGGCATTCTGCAACTTATACTTTTGCTATTTACACTTTTTTTAAAATTAAATTTGCATATATAGATAATAAACTAAAAGTATTTCAAAACTTTAGAAAAATTAAATTTTATAAATTGATTTGCAAGACTTAAAACTCCATAATTTCAGATATAACAAAACAAAAATAAAATTCTAATTCAAATTAATTCAATATATTAAAAATAAAGAAAACCTTTCGATTAAATAATAAAACATAGATAATTCTCTCTTATTTAAAATTAAATTCAAACCATTTATATAGATTTTTTTTTTCGCATAAAAAATTTAATATTACTTCAATATTATTAGTAATTTTTTAAATTAAATCAGAAAAAAAAATTCCAGGGCATTTCAGAGCATTTTTGAAAAAAATGGAATTTTCTAGGAAATTTCAGGACATTCCAGGACACTTGCAAAAATTCAGGACATTTCAGGACTGTGGCCACCATGTATATAATATAATTAGTATTGAGAGAAACTGTATTTCTTGATGTTTTAAAATAGTATATATATATATATATATATATATATATATATATATATATATGTATATATATATATATATATATATATATATATATATATATATATATATATATATATATATATATATATATATATATTAATTCAAAATTATTAAATTTAAATTAAATTAAAAACATTGCATTTTGCATTATATTTAATGACTCTAATTAAACTAGATGTCTACTTTGTGAAAATCCATATTTTTGCAAAATGGATATACTTTTTTATATTATACTATTTTAAATAAATAGCAGATCTTAAAAACATATTCAGTTTAGATTTGCATGAGAAAAACTATAAAGAATGAATAAATATGAATGAATGTGTGTTAAATTATTTTAACATAAAAATACTAAGAATAACCTAAAAATATTTTAAACATACCAATCTTCTAGTTGTAGTACATCTCTGTCCAGCAGAACCAACTGCTGCAAAAACTGTAGCTGGTACAACAAGATCTAAATTTGCATCCTCCATCACTAAAATACAAATTTAGAAGTTTCAAAAATCAGTAACTAATTTGATAATAAAACTTACAAAACAAACAGCAATCATGAATAGGATAACTAACATAATAGGAAAATTAGCAATCATAAATAGGATAAACACACATTAACAACCATAGACAACTACAAAGAAATAACTCACCAATAATTGCATTGTTACCACCTAATTCTAATAAACATTTGCCTGCAAATAAAAATAAAACCTACAGTTATTAAAAAAGTTGAAAAAGAAAATATGATAAACAACATTAATTCTAATAAGTACTAACATGTAAATAATTATTTTAAATATTTTAGCACATTTTTATAAAAATATATTTTAAAAGTTATTATTTTTATTCACTTACCAAACCTTTCGTTAACCTGCAAAGAAACCTTTTTACCAACCTGTAAATAAAGACATTAATAAATCTTACTTTTACTTAAATTAAACTTTCATTCAATTTATTCAAAAACTAAAAACTTGTGTTCATTTTATGTAACTACATAATTAATGTAAGATAAAAATATAAAAATACCTGAGTGCTTCCTGTAAAAGAAAGAAGACTAACATTTTTGTCAGCTGCCATAGCTTCACTAAATAATAAAAAAAAAGTTTAATATTATAAAAAAACTTTTTCTAAAAAATAAAAATAAAAATCATACACACCCTACTTCAGCCCCGCCTTGTACTAAAGAACATATTGCTCCTGGAAGGTTGTTAGCTTCAAGGACATCAGCAATAATCCTGAAATATGTAATAAAATATTAGGCCAAATAAAAATAAATAATAGTGATAATTAAATATATATATATATATATATATATATATATATATATATATATATATATATATATATATATATATATATATATATAAAGAAAACAAAATCAAATAACATTAGGGAGTTAAACAAGCCTGGTTTTTTTCTTTTCTTTTTATTTTTTTGGTTATACCGTATTATTTTAGGCTATTCCTAAACATTTTATGTATATGTACACATGCATAAAATATAGTAACAATGTTTTCACAGACAAATACTTTTTATTCATTTCAACATGGTATATTCATCATCAAGTGGCTGAAGAATTATTTTAATTAAAGGTTTTCATATTATACTTTTTTAAAATAATCTATTATAAAACAACAAATTCACTGAGAAAAATAGAGCTTTTTTTGTTAAAAGTTGTAAAATTTCGAAAAGTAATTTTTATTTTATAGCTTTTTAGCTGATTACGATTTGAATTTGGCAAAGTTGCTATACAGAGAAACAATTTGAACTATTTGTCTGTATTATATTGCAAAAAGTTATTTAATTTAAACACATTTTCTGTACTGCCATTAAGAAAAATTTGTTAGCTCTACGTTTACTTTATCCACCACATTTGCTGATCTGATAACAAAAGAACATATTTATCATACTGTAAAGTAAAACTTATTAAAACTCTTTTGGCAATATCACAGTCAATATATGATTCTTTTATTTAATTATGATCCACCTTATATTTGGATTGTCAAATTATATTGTCAAATTTGCATCATGTTAGAAATCTGACCAGATCCCAGTGCTCTACACATATTTTCAGTTATATGTCTATGATTCTAATGCAGCTGCGTTAGTTAGGTTGGTACAATATGATTGTTGTATACTCAAGCTACTTTTACAGATATATTTAGTCAAAAGAGCTCTTGCATATAAAAACATAGTAGAAGATAAAGATAAAGAAACAGCTGGTTTGCACTTGCATATAAAAACATAGTAGAAGATGAAGATAAAGAAACTTGTTGAGCAGGTTGACAAAATTCTATCAAATTGTCTTTACTAAAAGGTCACAATAAACTTTATAGCAACAGTGTTTGCGAGAGATGATGCACCACCCGCAAAATTGTAATAGATACTTAAGGTTAGCATTTAAGAATAATTTTAACAATATTTTTGCAAATTTAAATCCCATGGTTTATCCAATATTTTCCCCAAGAGATGAGGCAAGATAGCATAATCAACTGGAACACAACCCTGCGACACCTGCTAGAAACTTTTTATTTTATCTGAGTACTCCAGTTATAGGCTTGCTGTTAAACAAACTAATAATCTTATTTTTTATTGCAAAATTTCTTTTCAGCCAGTGATAAATATGTTATAACTGAGGGATAGCAGATGAAAAAATCAAACTTAATAGTAAACAATACAACACTTTGCATAAATACATAATTAATCATGCAACTGATCCTAATGAAAGACAAAGCTGTTTTTTTATATTGTGTTAATCGTATATTGGATTTTGAAGATGCTATAGTCTCATGAAGAAATTCGGTAAATCAAATCTTATTACTATTTTTGCATGAAATCCAAAGTACAAAAAAAACTCATTTTTAATCATATCTATCAGCAACACTTATACCTTGAAAAGTGTTAACTGCCACCTTAAAGATTGTAGTAAGAAGCGTACTGATAGGTTGAATCTTATCTCGAAGAATTAGAATATAAAAAAGCTCATAAAGGAAAACATTACAGGGTTTATGGCAGTTTTGAAAAACCATTTTCTCTGAGTTTTCCCTGATTTTCAAGTATTTTTTCCCTGAGTTTGTGCGGTGAAAAGTCTTATATTATTATATTTATTTATACATTTAGCTAAAAATATAGTTACTATATGATATAAAAGTTAAAAAAACCACTTTAGTGAGCAACTTTCAACAACAATAAACACTCAAAATGTGTATTTTGCAAAATAACTTCAAGCTAAATATAAAACTGAAAAATACTCCCTGAGTTTTCCCTGATTTTACAGATTTTTAACAAATATTCCCTGACTTTTCCAGGTATTCCCTGATTTTCTAAATTTTTAAAACTTTTCCCTGGTTTTCCAGGTTTTCCCTGAGTGCCATGAACCCTGCATAACTTGGATCAGAAACAAGTCACAGATTAAGTAGAGTAAAATTATGGAAAGTGAATCTGAAAAACTTAACTATTTGAAAAGAAATTGAGAAAGACAAAAAGTTTGAGTTTTAGAGCCAGCCAAGTCAATGGCACAAGAGCCAAGCTATTCAGTATGATGAGCATTAAAGTTTCCATTAATAAATTTATTGTCTGATGGACAATGTGAAAAAGATTATTTAAATTTTTTTTTGCTTACTCTTTACCTTGGAGGTCTTCTCTATTTTTTTACATCAGGGGTCTTCTAAAAAACAAAACATGCTACCAGTAGCAGGGTGATCATGATGATCCTAATGCTAATCTGACCTGAGAGTTTATTACTGCTTCTAATTTTCGTTATTTGAAAACCTTTCAAAACAAACACAATTTTTTTGTATCTCAATTTAAATTTTTTACATAACAGAATTGTTAATAGTTTCATTGTTTAAAGTTTTTTTTTTTTTTTTTCATTCAACTTATATGTATGTATGTGTATACATATAATCAATAATACAATTAAATAATACATAAAATTCTTTATAAAGGCTTTTTTTAAAAATTTTCAAACTTCAGTGTAATACTAGATTTATCACAATTGTCAAGAAAATGTATATATAAAATCAACAATTTAAGTGAATGTTTATATTACACTACGTAAATATTTGTGTAATAAAAATCAAATTACGATTACACATGTAAAAAAAAGATACGCAACAAAATCAATTTAAACTTTTTAATTATTAATAACAAGTTGTAAACTAAATACACAGTTTTTAATTTTTCAAAATAAATGCACTAACTTAGTTACTGCTACAGATACAAGTGGAGTAGTAGGTGCACCCTTCCTGAAAAAAAATGCGTAAAAATAATAATATTCAGACCAAATATTCATTTAAAAATAAGTTTTACTAATATATTTATAACAAAAACATACAATTACATATAATTATAAATAATTAAATACTTTTTATAATATTCGTGTATAAAAGCATTTTAGACAAAGATGTTGTAAAAAACACAAAGCTATTTTTTTGTAGTTTAATTTTGTGCTTTCTAAATGATTGCAAAGGATTAAAATTTCAAAAAAGTAAACAACAGATGAAACTTGGAGATGCGTGCAAAGAAACTTATAACTAAATAAATAATTTTAAGTCACTACTTTGATACTTTTAAGTTTATTCTATTTTAGAAACTTACCATACTTGTGTGTTACCACAAACTAAACTTAGAGCAGTGTTCCATCCAGACACAGCTACTGGAAAGTTAAATGCAGTGATAATACCAACTAAACCAAGAGGATTCCATTGCTCCAACAACATATGGTTTGAACCTAATACAATGTTAAGTTACAGAGAAAAAATTTATTAAGTGGGTATTATGTTTTTATATTATTTACAAACAAAAAGTTAGGAATCTTACGTTCAGATGGAAATATTTGTCCAGGTAACATCCTTGACAAACCAACAGCGTAATCACAAATATCAACATACTCTTGTACTTCACCTAACCCCTCTGGTATTATTTTACCCATTTCCAGAGAAGTCTTTTATAAAATATAAATTCAAATATATGTATATGTAATCACACATAAAAGATATATATATATATATATATATATATATATATATATATATATATATATATATATATATATATATATATATATATATATATATATATATATATATATATATATATATGTTTGTAGTAATGCTATTTTAAAGTGCATATACTACCAAGTAATACTATCAAAATTAGTTATTTTAAGACCTGATAAAGATATTGGGGTAGTGATTTTAAATAGAAATGATTATAATGAAGGTATTTATAAAATTAATAATGATAAAAATAAATTTAAATTAGTCAAAGATGCTACTCTACTAAGGCAAAGGCAATTATATTGTTTTCTACAGAAATTACATAAAGAAACTTTTTTTTACTAAGGAGCAATATAAGAAAATCTATCTGACAGGATCAGAACCATATGTATATATGGCCTACCTAAAATGCATACAAATTTTTAACAAACTTCTAATTTCACACCTATTATTTCTTCAATTAATGCCTATAATTATAAACTAGCTAAATTCTTTAGTACTTTAGTCAAATCATGTATTGATCTAAAGTATTCACCAAAAGATTCCTTTACTTTCCTTGAAGAATTGAAATTACACAATTTCAGTAATAATTATTTAATTTCTTATGATGTTGATAGTTTATTCACTAACATTCCATGAAAGAGACCATTAAATTAGCAGTTTCCTAAAATATTGAATAAAAAATCGTAACTTAAAATATCTAATCTGAATTTAAAAAAATTATCTAGGTTTGCAACCTGTAATTCTTATTTTTTGTTTTGTGGTAAATATTACAATCAAAATGATGGTGTAGCTATGTAGGGTCTCGACTTGCTCCTGTTTTACCAAATTTATTCACAGGAACTCGACTTGCTCCTGTTTTAGCAATTTTTTCAACTTAGAAAGTAATTATTTTAATGAATTTAACAGAAGTTAACCTTTATTTTATAAAAGATATGTAGATGATATTTTTGCATTATTTTTAATCGGAAACTGGTAGTATTGTTTTTCTAGAGTATTTAAATTCTAAACATCCTAATATCAAATTTACACGTGAACATTAACAAAATGGTATTTTACCATTTTTAGATGTTTGCATTGAAAATAATATTGAGTTGCTCACTAATATTTACTATAAGAAGACATACTGATCTATTGACAAACTTTTTTAGCTTTACTTTTAGCTACAAACTTAGGCTAGTTAAAACTCTTATTGTTGTTTTAAAATTAATAATACCTGGTTCGGTTACCATAACGATATTAATAACCTAAAAATGGTCTTATTTAAAAAATCAGTACCCAATTAAACTTATTGATAAATGTATAAACAACTATTTAAATAAAAAATTTGACACATGTAAATTTAACAATAAAGAATCCCTTAGTTACAAATATTTTAAGTTGCCATACATAGGTGATAGTTCTAGAAATATTCAAAACAAAATTAATGAGTTAACTAAAAAATTATGTAAAAAAGATTTAATTATCAAATTATCGTTTTCTTCTTTTAAAACTAAGTAATACTTTTTACAACAAGACTTACTTCCAAGAAATAATAAATCAAACATTGTTACAAATTTAATTTAATTTTTTTTTTTTTTTTAACAACTTCGCTTCCAACAAGGCTGCAAGCAACCACTAATTAGTGTTGGAAGTTACTGAAAGAGAAAAGATGAAGATTGTAGAGCAAGATAACCATTGACAGACGACTTAAAAGATTGCAAATTATATGAATCAGGAAAGCAAGATGAAGGAAGCGAATTCCATAGAACTGGTGTTCGAGGAAAAAAACTAGACGAATAAGAGTTTTTGGAGCACTTAGGAACAGTAACAGAAAAAGGATGAGACTTAGTTGAATGACAAGTAACACGAGAATGAATTTTTGTAGATGGCACAAGAGACGCTAGTTCTTTAGAGCAGTGCCCATTATAGTATTTGTAGAAAAGAGAAAGAGAAGCAACATTACGACGATGTGACAGAGGTTGAAGGTTGGCTGCAAGAGCAGGTCCAACTATGTTTACAATGCATTTTTGCACTTTGTCTAAAAGAAAAAAAGGTATCATTAGAAGATCCACCCCAGATATGGCAGCAGTATTCCATACAAGGCCGGATTTGAGATTTATAGAGATAGAGAAGCGACTTTAGCAGATGCTAATTTTGTAATGGATTTGATATAAGGTTTCCAAAAAAGATCAGAAGTAAGAGTTAATCCTAGAAGATGAAGGGTAGGAGACTCATCGAGTACATTACCGTTGTGCTTCATTATTTAATGAAAACATTAAGTGTCAAAGGAAAGCCTCCTTTGATTGCTTTTCTATTTTGAATTCTTCTAAAAGTGAGTATGAATTAGAAATAAAGGAAAGCATGCATATAAAGTGGCAAAGGTCCTGTTTAAATAAAAAATCAAACATAGAATCCTTGAACTATTTTGACGTTTATGTAATTATTAAATTTTTTTTTTTTTTTAACTACTTGAAACCTATTGTGTTTTTTTTTTACTGAGTTCTGAGACTGATAATTTTTTTATTGTATTTTAATGGTTTTTTGACCTTTTTTTTTTTTTAATAAAGTAATAAAATTTTTGTAATAAAGTAATAAAATTGTATCCCTTATAAAAAAATTTCTTTAATGATTTTTGTGAATTTTACTGAAGATAAACTATGTAGTTCGAAACATGTATATCAAACATTTAAAAAGCGTTGTTAGTTTTATTCAAATATTTATTTCAATTGTGCTCAACAGATCATTTGGCAATATATATATATATATATATATATATATATATATATATATATATACACACACACACACTAATTGAAATTTCCATAGTTCATGTAGTTATGGCAGATTTTATGTGGAAGTTATTAATAAAATTACCCACAAAAATTATATTTATTAGACCTATTGCATACGAAAAATTATTCTCAATAACTAATATATTTGGTCTAGCCTTCAAAGTTTTTTTATAATTCTTTAAAACATTCATTAATGCTCAAGTCTTATAATTTAATATACGAAAAAAGAAATACAAAGCCTTAGCAATGCATATAATTTTATTCTTACTAGTCAAAATTAATATTCAAAACAAAGATATATTTCAAATCAATCAACAGCTTAAAGCATACAACCTGCAAAGTTTTCATCATTGATTTTTATGCAGAGCACTAAAACTATGCAATAAAATAGTTTATTACACGAAACCGATGAACTTATTCAAACAATTTGATTTTATTAACCTTGATAACGTCAAGTATATCCCTCGAAATAAAAAATTTTTAAATTTCAAAGTGTCTAACAAACACAAGGAACAGTCATTTAAGTCTTTTTTCAGCAACCAATTGATTCAATATATAATCAATTGATTCAATATATAATCAATTATCAGCAATTAAATTAAGCATTGCAATGAAAATATCAAATTAGCACCAAATTAGAATTTAGTGATTCATATTTACTGAACAACATCAACTCTATTATAGCACATACAACTATCAACAATTAGGTTTGATGTCAATATAAACAAAATAAATAACTATATTGACTTTTATGCAAGCACAAAATTAAAAAAAAAAGAAAAACTAAACTTTATTAAAATTTTTTAACATCTTTTATTTTGTATTTACAATAATTTATTATACTACTTGTGTCTTATATTAAAAACACTTCTATTCACCAGTAATGGCAAAAGACATATAGCCCATAGAATAGAAATTAAGAAATATATATCGCAAGCAAATGGGTTTATGACAATTTTATGTGTTTCTGAAACAATAAAACTAAATTTTCTAGAATGTTTTTAAAATCTGGTATAAACACATGCAAAATTTCCATAGTTCTACCAGTTTGTTTTAAACACTTCAATTTCATTTCAGTTAATTGAACTTAGAGTAAGATTTTGAATTTTGTTCTATATGAAAGTTTTGTGTATTTTTAATTAATATTTGTTATTTAACTATTACAATGCCATGGGGAAGGGTGTTAAATGAGGAAGAAAAAGCAAATATTATTGCTTATAAAGATATAGGCTTGTCCAATCGACAAATTGCAAAGAAAATCAAAAGGTCTCATCATACGGTAAATAATTTTAAACCTGAAGACCTTGTTTATATAAGGAGTTAAATTGGGAGTGAGATGTGTGTCTCAGCCATTATTGTATTGGATTTATTATTATTGTGTCAGATTTAATATTACTTTTGTATTGAAAAGATAACATTTTATAAATATTATTTTGTGCTTATTTTCATATTTAAAAAAACCTGCTACTCTTTTTTTTTGTAAAATATCTTTTTCTTATTTGAAAAGTTTAAAAATGACACTAAAATTTACTTAAAATGATTCATGATTAAAATGATATGTACAAAATGGTACATATCATTTTAATCATTTAAAAATTAGAATATGATTTTAAGTTAAAAAAAAAAGAGAGCAAATTAGTTAAATATTTATAAAATAAAATAAAATCATTCTATTATATAAATTTCAAAAAAAAAAAGATTACTAGTTGTTTTTTTCCTCCCAAACGCCTATATGTCTAAACAAGCGTTTTAGATTTGTCATTTTATACTGGTATTTGATCTTTATTTTGTAAAGTTTATGTTAAAAACTGCAAAATTCAATACAAGGCCACCAGCAGAACACTAAATAAAAATTGTTATACTTTATTCACAGTCTGGAAATAGAAAATTTTCAGGTAAAAAAAATTATGCTACAATTTACTAGATTGTGGACTTGTTCATGTGAAGTTCATACTTATAACCTGTTTAGATGTAGTGCATAACCTTAAAACATTAAATACATATGTTAGGTGCATGCAAGTTTGCAACATGTTCACTTATTTGATAAGAGAACATGTTGAAGGCTTGAATGCACTCACAAGGACAGGGTTTGTTGATGAAAATGATACTCATGCTTATCTGTCAACAGGTTTAAAACTTTTATATTAGCCTCAAGTTCACAACATGTAACATCAAAAGAGGTGGGTAAGAACAGCGGTTGAAAATGAACATCAAAACCAAGGCTACTAAAAGGTAAAGAAACACACAAAATAGAGCAGTATATTGTGTTATTTTGATTCAGTGGCTTTGAATATAATATATAAAAAAACAATTTTTGGCTGTGCAAACAACTTGCCTTTTTTAGCTTTTCTCTATTAAATATAAACAGCAAGAGTTCAGGCAGTTAAGTGACTTTTTAAGCTATCTTAAGAACCACGTAACAAAATACCGTAAAGGTTGCTACAATTCAAGTTCAAGTACATATTTTTCTGTAAAAATTAAAATTTAGGGTATAGCTTGTCAATATCTAACTACTTGCTTATTCAAAATGACATTTTTTATCAAGAATTAAGGATTTTTTTCTTGTAAAAAAAAAGGACCTTTAGTTTAGACACAAATCTATTTGCAAAGCAAATCTATCCATAATCTAAAAAAATAAAAATAATAATAATAATAATAATAAAAAAAAATATGTTGTGTTCAATGTCATCCCAAATTGGCAAATCATCTTCACCCCATTTTAAAAAGTTTATAATCATATAAAGTAAAAAGTTAAGATATTTACTGCATAGAGTTGATTAAAACTTTTCCAGGAAGTTGGATAGTACAATGTTCTGTTAAAAAGAAAAAAGATAGTGACTAGGCCAACAGTTTTCTTTGATGCAAAAGTGTTCATAGTAATCCCAATTGACAATAATTTACAAAGTTGCAACTTCATGTTGCAAACTTGTAGATTACATGTTGTGCAAACTAGTTTTTGAAGTAACATGTTGAACATGTTATTATAAAAAAAGTTTGCTACATTTATTATAAATGAGTATTTGACTTAATGAAAATCCCAGAAATTTTATTTATGAAAATCCTGGAAAATTATTTTATTAAAAATTAATCGTATTAACTGAAAACAAAAACTTTCGTAAACGGAATTTAGATTTTTTATTTCTAATACTTAAAAAAGTTAATTTGAATAAATTAAAAAAGAAAAAAAAAAAAAGAAAAAAAATTGTTATGAAAATTGATCTCGTGAAAATTACATATAGAAACTATAGAAAACATATTGCAAAAGTTGTCGTTTTTAAAATGTTATGTAAAAATATATAACTTATTTTTCAAATTAATAAAAAGAAACATCTGCAAATTTCTGAAAAATTCGATTAGTTTTAAGTGAATTTTCGGAATTGCGGGAATTCCCGGAAAAAACTTATCTATGATTTATATTGTCTTACCAACTTTGAATAGCTCAGTTGTCATAACTTTTATTGTGATTTTTTTTAGTCAATATATTCTGAACATGTTTTTAATTTAATTAATTTAATGCAATTTATAATAATTAATTTAATGCAATTACTTAACATCATTTGTAGTTGAAGGACCCTTGTGCATCATAGATTTAGTAGAACTTAGTGTAGTTAAGGCTCACAACTAAGAGTTTGAGATTTAAATCTACTCTATGCTCTATGAAATTATTGTGCTCAATCTGTTTCCTGTTTCAGTTTGTTTAAAACTGTTTCTGAGTTAAAGATTGAAAAAGAACTTTCTTAAAAAAAAAAAAAGTAGCTCCCTTGACTGTAGTGAACATTAGAGCCATGGGAGATAGTGAATATATAAAATTATAAAAAAATTGCTGTACACATACAATAATAAATATTAGGAATTTTGATTACTTTTTAAAAAACCCAAAAACCCTGGCTTTTTCATATTTTTTTCAGACTCCAAGCAAGAAAGCAAGTAGTCACAAGATAAGACTTTTGTAATTAAAACTAAAATAAGTTCGATACTTTTAAAATTATCTTTTGTCAAGTATTTCAAATTTAAATGAACAAATTTTTATTACACTTTTTAAAAAAACTATTTAATTTAAGTTTTAAATAAGCGTATTAATTTAATAATTATTTTTACTTCGATTACGTTGTAATATATATATATATATATATATATATATATATATATATATATATATATATATATATATATATATATATATATATATATATATATATATATATATATATATATATATATATATATATACATATATATATATATATATATATATATATATAGTATTGGACAAAACATTTGCAACCAACATTGAACAATGCATAAAAGTGTTCCTAATTTTACATGTCTTAAAAACGAAACGAACTATACTACCACAGCAAACAGTTCAGGAGTCTGAAGTCATAGCATGCCATGACATGAGCAATCAGCTGACAGGTGACAGCACACAGGCAGAATTTTGTTGACAAGTGCCATTTTGCAGCGGACAAAACAAGTGCAACTTTTTTGGTTTGTTTCATTTTCTTAAGTCTGGTCCGTGTCACTAAAGTTTTTAATAATTAAAGGAAGTATCCAGAAGTTTCCAGAAGCATGCAGAAGCTTCCAGAAGAAGCATCTGGAAGCATCCAGAAGTATCCAGAAACATTCAGAAGCATTCAGATGCATCCAGAAGCTTCCAGAAGCATCAAAAAGAAGCATCTAAAATCTTCCAGAACAGGTTCACACAGGTTCATTTTACTATATAAGAGACATGTAATTGAGTCAGTATATGGAAGTCAATCAGTCAGTATTATCAAGACAGTTTATCAAAGTGAGTTTTATCAAAGTGTTTTATCGAAGAACATCAATATAAGAAGTGAAATACAATTACGTTTCATTACATCAATACAATCCACATCCAACCAAGACGTTGTGTTCCACAGAGCATTATTGTATCATCACAAGGTAAATGTAACACAGTAAGCCTTGAGAAGCATGATTATTTATTTTAACTATTTTTATGACTTCAAGTGCGAAAATAGCTCCAGACAGTTTTGGATTGGAACTAAGAAAAAAAATTATTGGCAATTACATAAGTGGAATGTCACAAAAAAATATTTGTGATAAATATAGCGTTAAAAAATGGACCGTATCAAGACTATGTTCCAAATATCGTTCTACGGGGAAGTTGGAAGCAGATAACCAATATGGAAGACCGTGTTCCACTACTTCTAGAGAGGATTCTATGATCATCAGATCCGTCAAGAAGGATCCCTGGATATCATCAGTCGAGATACAAAAGCAATTAGAGCTGCCTTTATCGGACCGAACAATCAGACGACGTGCTGTTGAAGCCGGATTGTTTTCTCGACGCCCTGCAAAGAAACCGCTGATTTCACTAAAGAACCAGAAGAAAAGACTCCTGTTTGCTACATCTCATATTGACTAGAATGCGCAGAAATGGCAAACCTTCTTGTTCAGTGATGAATTGAAATTCAACTTCATTGGGAGCCATGGCATTTGTTGTGTACATCGAACAGTCGGAAAACGCCTTGATTTACAGCCATAAGACCGTGTAGCATTGGGGGTATTTTTTTGCTAACGGTTTAGGTCCAATATATCGAATTGATGGAATGGACCATTTCATGTATAAAAATATCCTGAAAGATGTTATGTTACCTCATGCTGAATGGAATATGCCAATAAAATGGGTTTTTCAGCAAGACAACGATCGGAAACACACTGCAAAAGTAATCAAGCAATGGTTTCAAGACAACCACCTATCGGTGATGGATTGGCCACCTCAATCTCTGGATCTCAACCCTATCAAGAACCTGTGGGAGATCATCAAATGCAGAATTAATCGTCAAGGTGTTTGTAATAAGGATCAACTGTTTGAACAAATCCAAAAGGCCTGGGCAGCGATTCCACAAAGTTTTATTGATCACCTGATTGAATCTATGCTTCAAAGATGCAAGGCTGTGATCGAAAACAAAGGATTCACCACAAAATATTGATAGCGAAATACAGCTTGGTCAACATTTTGTGGAGTTGCACTTGTTTTGTCCAGAAGGAAATCAACTTTTTTTAATACTTTTGATTAATTTATTAATTTTCTTGTACAAATAATGAACTTTGTGATGAATAAAACTTAAAGAACATTGTCTCTAAACAGTTACATAGTTATTTCTCTAAATTGAAAAAATGCAGCACTTCTATATAAAGAAACTAAAATAGCATTATTTAGTTGCACTTGTTTTGTCCGATACGGTATATATATCTATCTATATCTATCTATCTAAATATATATATATATATATATATATATATATATATATATATATATATATATATATATATATATATATATATATATATATATATATATATATATATATGTATATATATCTGAATATATATATATCTGAATATATATATATATATATATATATATATATATATATATATATATATATATATATGTATAAAAACCTCAGTAAAAATGATAAGCAATTGCTTTAGCCTGCCCCGAACCCGTGTAAGTCAGTTTACACTGGCAAAATAAAGCTCCTGCAAAAAAATGCATAATATAATGTTGAGAAAACATCTATATAGATAATATTATAAATATAGTAACAAAAAAAATAAAGGTTGCACCATTGCAAAATGGATGCACTAAAAAAACACACCAATTTTCCTAAGGGCTGTAGCTTCCCTCTGAGACTTTCACCAATTTGTCTGACAATTTCACCCCTTTTAGGAGCTGGAACCTAAATATGAAAATAAAGTTTATTTCATAAAGCTATTTTTCTAACTAATCTGCATTTTTGTTTCATAAAATAAACTATATTATTTTATTTTATGAAATAAAATATACTAGTTATTATATTAAATAAACTATATCATTATATTATATGGAAAAGTTTATAATAACACCAAAGTTAAAATTACATAAATTGTTAACTTAAAAGAAAAAGAAATATAAAAATATGGTCATAAAAGTATAAACATTTTTAATATTTTACATTTTAAAATAAATTTCATTTTGAAAACATTAAATTTGAGAAGCTAAATAAATATAACAAAATAATATATAGAAATAAAAGTACATAGGAAAGTTAGAACTATAAAAATGGTAAAAACATAATTTGAAATAAGTACTTCTCTCCAGATCTTCCATGCATCCAAAGAAAGTGTGGCAGTCTTGTGATAATCTGATACATTTCCCTAATATATCAATTCATTTTTTTTTTATTGCAAACATCAAAAGCAATTTATATATACCTATAAAAAATAAATTTCTTCAAATAAAAAAAATAAACCAATAGAGATACAGCTTAGGACGACATTTAACAAAAAAACAACACAAATGAACAGCAACCCTCTATATTAAGTCATAATAACATTTTTGATTTTTTTTGTTTATTAATTTGTTTTTTCTTCTCATTTTTCATCAGTTTATAAACAAATTACTAACTTGAACATTTATAAACCCATCAAATTAGTTTTATTTTATACTTTAATAATACCTTAACAAAATTTTAAATAAATAAATAAACACATAATGAACACATAATGATATAAAAATGAAAGAATAAAAAATATCAAGTCAAATGATCCTTATGAATTGTCACTTGAGTGACTTTAAAAAAGAACTTTTAAAAAAAAAGAACATTTAAAAAGAATGAAATGATTGAAGATACAATAATGAGAAAAGGATTAAAGATACAATAAAGACGAAAGGATCAAAAGTTTGATACAAATGAAAGAAATAAAAATACACTATCTTTCATGAGAATTTGTAAAAGCACACCATCATCTACAGATTTATTTCATAGTAAATTTAAAACCATTTTCTCATATTAACATTTTTTTAATCATAAAAACAAAAAACCTGGTAATAAACTAGTTTCAAAGAAAACTTGAAAGTAATGTATGTATGTATGTATGTATGTATGTATTTATGTATGTATGCATGTATGCATGTATGTATTTGTGTATATATTTATATATATATGTTGATAAGGAAAGTCAACAGTATTGCAAAAGTTTTTTATTTTTTTAAACAGTTTAAGAGTTGTTAAGTTGTTAAGAGTAAACAATTTAGTTTTGTTGGAGTTAAAAATTACAAGCCAATACAAGTTCCAAGTTGTTACAGAAGAGATCTGATTCAGGATTGATTCAGGCAATCAAAAAGTCAAAACTTTTTGTCTAGACAAAAGTATAAAGTTGTCAGAAAAGAAAGCCACTTTAGATGATAGATTGTAGATGAAGATGTAAGATTTGAGAAGTCAGGAAGATCGTTAATGTAGATAAGAAACAATACAGGAGCAAAGATTGCAGTACCTAGCAAATTACTGGAAATTAAGAAAAATGTTTTAATACTGTGGTAAAAAAAATAAAAAAGTTTTAATAATCTCAAAAACTTTATATAAAGAAACTAATAATAAAGAGAAGACTAATTAGAGGATAGTTAATTTTTTTAAAACTAGTTGGAGAGTTGTGTTTTCTAGAATTTTTAAAAAGTGTGTTTTCTAGAATTTTTAAAAAGTAGAACTTTTTCAGCGCATTTTTATAGTTTAAAGAGTTAAAGAGATTTCTGTAGAAAGATTATGATAGGATCAGAAAGATTATGTTTGGATCACAAGCCATAGAAGAGTTTAATTAAGAATTGACTTGGTTGTTGAAAGCTAAAGTGATTGATGATGTCTAACAATGAGTTAACCTGTTTATCTAAATACAGGAGGTCTGGTAAAAAACACATTGGTGTGTGCGTGTGTGTGTGCGTGTGTGTGTGTGTGTGTGTGTGTGTGTGTGTGTGTGTATATATATATATATATATATATATAACATAATATAAACATTAATGCTTGGTATTTATTTGTATGCTGGCATGCAATATCTTAAACATATTTATATAAACTTTAGTATTTATATGGTGTAGTATTTGATCAGATGAATGTGTGGTAGGCCTCTTAAAAGACAAGAAGCCACAATCTTTAACAGAGATTAGTTAAGGAAAGAAAATACTCAAGATTGTTTATATTAGAGAAACAGCATGAAATGAGGAGACTAAAGCTTGAAGAAAATGATGATGATAGCAATGATGATGGCAATGATTCTGATGATCACGATTATGTATACATATTTATACATGATGATGTAAAATATAACATAAATTTCAAATATCGACCTCAGTCAATCACCACTATACAAAGGTACACCAAGGTACAAAATTATTGCACACTAATGCAAAGCGCTATGTTTACATTTTTCAAATTTTTTAAAACAACTTTACTAAATTTTTTACTTACTTTACTAAATTTTTCAAATTTAATGTCTCTTGTAGGAACAGAAGAAAATATACTAGTTGGTTAAATTTTTAACAGAAATTACTTGCGTACATAGGCAACTTTTCCACTTTACCCCAAAAGCATGTAATTTTTTTTAAAATTAAAAATAGCACACAATTCAACTTGGTACAACTAGACAATAAAATTGTAAAAGCTTTAATTAAATCTAATAGGCGAAAGTGGGTTCTTAAACCTTATTTTGAAAATTATTCACAAAAAAATTAATAAATTAACTACTACTTTAAACTTTTTTTTTTCACTCTCTATATAAAATTTATGGAATGTTTGTTGTCATTTTATTTTTTACATTTTAATTATAGTATAATAGTTATTTTAATTCAAATTAAAATTTCACGAAAAAAAATTTTTTTTTTTCATCACAAGCTATGAATTTTTCATTACAATTTTTAAAAATTAAGAAATAAACAAACTGAAAACAATATTAGCTATAACTTGAAAAAAAAACACCCATCTATTCAATTTACCAAATAAAAAAGAGAAAATTTCAATAAAAAATTCATAATAAAAAATTTTAAAAATTCAAGTCAAACCTGTTTAACGCGTGCAATAACTTCATTATTTATAGGACATACTGATTCAACCCACTAAAATAACACTTCATAAATATATATTTAAAAACACATACACAACAAAATTTTCAATTTTGAAAACATAAAACTGAAGAATTAAAGAGTTATACAACTATACTAATAGGTTTGAAAAAAAACTGACTGATTACAACTATACTAAAAGGTTTAAAAAAAATTACTTCTCCTGAGCCTGACCATTTCCCATTATATACACCAAGGTTGTCTTCATGAAGACCAAGATCTTTTAAAAATGAATACTTTGCATTGTTTATAAGATAAGAACTATTATATCTTAATGAATGACGTTTTACTTGATGTAAAATTTTAAAAGATAGCATTTTGTATATATCTATAAAAGCATCAAAAATATTTCTTGCAGCATTTAAAACAACAATCTTTTAAAATAACAAATATGAGATTTTAAATAACGACCTAAAAATATCTGTTTTACTTATATAACAATATTTTATTTACATAATAAAAGTAAAATATAAACTAAAACATTTAAAGTATAATTTTAATTATAAGCATAATTAACTTAAAAAAGTTTCCTTATGATGCTGAATTTTAACATTTAAGTAATATTAAATACTAATTATATTACTAATATTATGTTAAAAAGTTTAATGCATATTTTTTATAGAAAGTAACATAATTTTTCTTTCCAGTAAACCAAGAGATATAAAACATTATTTTTTATTTATTTATTTAATGCTTCAAAAAAGTGCATATTTTTACATTTTTCTTTTTGAAAAAGTTTTTGTTTTTTTGTTTGTTTAAAGCACACTACAGCCATTTTCCAAAAAACCTTAAGATGCTTTTTACATATATTGGGAAAAAATGTGGTTAACAAAAAAAAAATTCTTTGTAAACCATTTTTTGAAAGTTTTTAAGTTTTTATAAATTTTTTCAAAATTCTTCAAAAATATTTATTCAATAACATTTTTAGGGATCTAAATTAGCTTATTTATAAAAACTTTTTGTGCGTGTAGGACTGATATTTAAACAAAATTCAATGATTATTGTTTTTTTTAAAAAAAAAGAAAGTAGTACACCATAAAAAGTAGTAAAAGTAGTAAAAAGTATTTGAAACCTAAACTCAATCAAACACCCATTCATGTTTTTGTAGGAAACACTTTGGGAATTTAAACCCAAACTCAATCAAACAACCATTCATGTTTTTATAGGATTGAACTTAATTTAAAAATATAAAGCAAAAACATTAAAAAAACATATTTCAATAAGAAAATAAATATTTAAATAAAGACTGCATGCAAATGAATGAAATCCAAAATTCGAATAAATATAAAAAGTTTGTATAAACTTTCATACATAACAACTCTAACTTTCATACATAACAACTCTAACTGTATAGACAATAAATTACATTTATAAAATTATCAGTTATATTTTATATAGTTTTTCATTTTTAATACTATGAAGAATAAAAGAACATTTTTAAACTTTGTGGATAATACTAATTAAATATTTTTATTTTGTTTCAGATAAATACAATTTAGCTTCTTCCCATAGTTCTCTTGGAAATCGAAAATCAAGTTTTGACCTCTGTTCTATATCTTCCACTAAAAAAAAATCATATAATATGCAAAACATGTTGTGTATAAAAAATCTATAATTTTTTTTTAAGCTATAAATATTTTAAAAACTATAAAAATTTTTTTTCAGGCTGATATACTTATAAAGTAAAATACTTTTAATATCAGAACCAGCAACATTTTTTTAAAAATCATTTTGACTTTTTTATAAAAAATAAAGAATCTTTTAAAAAGTATATACACAGATACACAAATACAAAAACAAAAAAACAAAAAACAAAACAAAAAAAACAACAAAAAAACAAAAAAACAAGCACACACAATAAAGAATCTTTTATTATCTTGTATTACTTTATAACATAACTTATTATAAATTTTTATGTGTTTATAAATTACTATTGATATATATTTTTTAAAAATAACTTTATTAAAAAAAATGATAAGAAACTAATGGATCTAAAATAACAACGAATTAATAACACCTGTTTTATTGTTGCCAACCATTTCAGGTCTTTTTTCATTAATTTTTTCCTAAAATTAAAAAACTTTAAAAAAATCTGAAGAAAATCACAAGTTAGTAAACTTTTGATTAACATAAATTCAAGATTAAACCCGTGTTTAAATATTTTGTAAATAATTATTCTTTATCATTTATTTTAATTCTTTCATTCTTTAAAAAGATTTAAAAATTAAAAATTTTAAAAGGATAAAAAAATATTTTTTCTTTTTTAATTTTTTGTAAGTCTTATGTTCTTGGTAGTAATGTGCTAAACCTGTTTTTCCACACAGCAATCTTGTTCATTAAAATTCGTATTTTGGGGTTAAGAGAGGGTTGTAACCACAATTATATTAGCCTCCTTAACTCTACTGGCCTTCATGGCATTGGGGAGGCGAATTAACATAAAAAACACACACAAAATAGTAAAGAAAAAAAACAAACCTGCAAAAATAATGCTAGTAGAGAAGGAGAAACATCTTGAGAAATTATTGCTTTGTTTTCACAACTTTTGTAGCACAAACAGATGAGTGTCGGAAATAAAATTGTAGTCAACCTTTTGGAATAACACAATCAATTAAACACTTTGAAAAAAAAGTATATAAATGTAAATTTACTTTTAATTTATTTTCACTGATTATCTTACTTATTATATATCTAGTATATTTATTTCTAAATTTAACATCTATCTTACTTATTATATATCTAGTATATTTATTTCTAAATTTAAATTTTATTCATTTCCTCATCTTTTAAAATGTCAGACACACCTCATAAAAAAGCAGTGTAGGAAAAGGTAATAAAGTCCTAGAAAAAAGCCCATTGACTGCATGATTGAGCAGACATTAAATCTCAGACCTATTGATTTTAAATCCCACAGTCAAACCATTTCACCTGAACTGCTATAATTAATGTATGCCTACTACAAATATATAAAATGAAAAAGGTGTATAACAAATAATTTAGGGTGTATAACATATAGGGTGTATAACATAAATTTGTGTAGTTTAAGAATTTTATTTAATATTTAACATTTATTCAATTAATTAATCATTTATTTAATTATTATTTATACAATTAATTTTTAATATAATTTATTCAATTAATTATTAATTGTATAACATTTAGTTAACTAAATTTTCAAATTATTTATTAAATAATTTTACTTTAAAAAATATTTTAAAATTTAAATAACAAACTCTGTACTTTGGATCACTGAAATAAGAAAATGGTAATGTGCAAAGCTGCTGACCAAGAGAAGGTGCTCGACCTGTTTGCAAGAAGAGCTATCACAAAAAAATAAAAATAATAATAAAATTTAATTTTAGTTTTTTTCTTTAAATTTTAACTCACGTGTAATTAAACTCATGAAAAAAAAAAATTGTATAAACTTACCTGATTTTCTTCGTGAAGCACACAAAAATAACCCAAGCTTAAAATAACCTCGTGAAGTAAATCATCGCATTTTTCATTCAAAGTATACCTACAAATTTGAAAACAAGTAACTCAACATTATTCATCTTTTTTGTCATTTTGTCATTTTGAAAAAATTGTTATTTTAGGTTTTTTTACTTAAAAAATTACGTTTTTTATCAAAAAATAAAAAAAATGCATTTTTTATGTTTATTTATGATAATCTTGATAAATTTTTAAAAATAAATACAATTTTTGAAATTTTTATATAATTTCGGTTTATTTGAGTACCAGGTTGACATATTTTTGAAAATATTAGGGACTAAATTTAAATATGCGAGGGTCTTGAGGGACCCCTTAAAATACTTTTTATTCAAAAAAAATTTTAAACTCATTAGATAGAACACATTTAGAGGGTGGCAGCCGGTTTTTCTCAAAAAAGTTTAAGGGCCACCATAATATATATATATATATATATATATATATATATATATATATATATATATATATATATATATATATATATATATATATATATATATATATATATATATATAAAACTACTTCCTTGTGAACTACCTTTACTTTTTATTGATAAAATCCAAATTAAAAGAGTAATTAGTGCTAATTTTTTGGGTATCTATGTTGATGAAAACCTTAGTTGGAAATACCACATTGAATTCTTGTGTAATAAAATTGCTAAAAGTAAAGGAATATTGTATAAAGATAGAGGTGTGTTAAATAAACGTAGTCTAAATCAATTATATTTCTCTTTTATCCATTGTCATTTAAACTATGCAAATATTGCTTGGTGCAATGCCAATAAATGTAAACTAGAGCCTCTTTATCGTCAACAGAAACATGTTGCTCGTCTTATTACTTTTAAAAACAGATTTACTCATGCCAAGCCTCTTTTATTTGAAATGAAATTTTTTAATATATATCAGCTGAATGTTTTTAATATTCTTTGTTTTATGTATAAATGTAAAACTAACTCTTCCCCAGTTTCTCTCCATAATT